ACAATTTGGTATGTTTTTCTCAGTGGCTGGTACCAGTTGTTCCTTTCCATGTTTAGTGCTTCCTTCAGGAGCTCTTGAAAGGCAGGCATGGTGGTGACAAAATCTCTCAGCACTTGCTTGTCTGTAAAGGATTTTATTTCTCCTTCATTTATGAAGCTTAGTTTGGCTGGATATGAAATTCTGGATTGAAAATTCTTTTCTTTAAGAATGTTGAATATTGGCCCCACTCTCTTCTGGCTTGTAGCGTTTCTACGGAGAGATCTGCTGTTAGTCTGATGGGCTTGCCTTTGTGGGTAACTCGACCTTTCTCTCTGGCTGCCCTAAACATTTTTTTCCTTCATTTCAACGTTGTTGAATCTGACAATTACATTTCTTGGGTTTGCTCTTTTCGAGGATTTTCTTTGTGGTGTTCTCTGTATTTCCTGAATTGGAATGTTGGCCCGCCTTGCTAGGTTGGGGAAGTTTTCCTGGATAATATCCTGAAGAGCGTTTTCCAACTTGGTTCCGTTCTCCCTGTCACTTTCAGGTGCACCAATCAAATGTAGATTTGGTGTTTTCACATATTCCCATATTTCTTGGAGGCTTTGTTTGTTTCTTTTCACTGTTTTTTCTTTAATCTTGTCTTCTTACTTTGTTTCATTGAGTTGATCTTCAATCTCTGATATCCTTTCTTCTGCGTGATCAATTCAGCTGTTGATTCTTGTGTATGTTTCACGAAGTTCTCGTGCTGTGTTTTTCAGCTCCATCGTGTCATTTATGTTCCCTATACTGGTTATTCTAGTTAACAATTCCTCTAACCTTTTCTCAAGGTTCTTAGCTTCCTTGCATTGGTTGGAACATGCTCCTTTAGCTCAGAGGAGTTTGTTATTACCCACCTTGGGAGGCCTCCTTCTGTCAGTTCGTCAAACTCATTCTCCGTCCAGTTTTGTTCCTTTGTTAGCGAGGAGATTTGATCCTTTGGAGGAGAAGAGGTGTTCTGGTTTTTGGAATTTTCAGCCTTTTTGTGCTAGTTTCTCCCCATCTGCGTGGATTTATCTACCTTTGGTCTTTGATTTTGGTGACTTCCGGGTAGGGTCTCTGAGTGGACGTCCTTTTTGTTGATGTTGATACTGTTTCTTTCTGTTTGTTAGTTTTCCTTCAAATAGGCCCCTCTGCTGCAGGTCTGCTGGAGTTTGGTGGAGGTCCACTCCAGACCGTTTGCCTCGGTATCACCAGAAGAGGCTGCAGAACAGCAGAGACTGCTGCTTGTTCCTTCCTCTGGAAGCCTTGTCCCAGGGGGTACTGGCCAGATGCCAGCCAGAGCTCTCCTGTATGACGTGCCTGTTGACCCCTGCTGGGAGGTGTCTCCCAGTCAGGATGCATGGGGGCCAGGGACCCTCTGGAGGAGGCAGTCTGTTCCTTATCAGAGCTTGAGTGCTGTGCTGGGAGATCTGCTGCTCTCTTCAGAGCCGTCAGGCAGGGAAGTTTAAGTCTGCTGAAGCTGCATCCACAGCTGCCCCTTCCCCCAGGTGCTTTGTCCCAGGGAGATGGGGATTTTATCTAGAAGTCCCTGACTGGGACTGCTGCCTTTTTTTCAGAGATGCCCTGCCCAGAGAGGAGGAATGTAGAGAGCAATAGTAATTTTTTGGTAGGTTTGTTATCTCTGTGGATTGTTTTTGACCTTAATACTGTCTTTTGGCTTGAATCTGTAGTCATTATGTTCCTGATAGAACAAGGTCTAGCTGCTTTTTTCTCTCAGTCCAATAAGAAGATGCAGACTGACTGAGAAAGAAGGGAGTTTATTTCTGCAACTGGTTATGGAGTAACTCACCAGACCAACTAAGTTACAAGTTTTTTTCAATACTTGTATTCATTCTAAACTCTGTGTCTATGTGTGGGAGGCACACCTACAAGCGAGGATCTTTCATTCCGACTGTATCTAGGGTGGGGTCCGGGGTCTGGAAGGCTTTCTCTAGAGACTTGGAAAAATTTCTTAATCTTCAGTGGGCCCTGGCACAAGGTGTGTGTGAGAATGCCTTCATAATCTTATCAGGCTTTAGGGTCTGAGAAAACCCAGGTGAAAATCTTAATGGGTTTGTTTTCACATTTCAGCCCTTGTACGAAGGCCATACTTTCTCCATTTCTTTACTATTTGACTTACACATTAATTAGAATTATAGTAATGTGTTAGTAGAAACTGTTCTGGTTGCTAATGGAAACCTGGCCTGCCACAATTACGGTTTTTCTCCCCAATGGACATTTTCTATCCTGTTCAACATCAGATATTTAATTTTAATCTCATATTTTTAGTATATTAGAAGCTTTAACCTGAAAGCCTCCATTTTGGGCCTTGTCATAAAATAAGTTAAATGACTCTAATTCTGAATACTTCTCTTTGTTTCTTCTTCAGGACACAGCCAGTGTGAAGTCCTCTAGTAGTCTTGAACCCAATCTTTTTTGTGATGAAGAGATTCCCATCAAATCTGAGGAGGTGGTGACTCACATGTGGACAGCACCTTCATTTTGTGCAGAGCATGCTTACTCTTCTGCTTCCAAGAGTTGTTCTCAAGGTATTATTCCTTTAAAAAACTGGGGGGAAGATAAGCAGAAAACCAGTGAGAAAAACATTATGTTTTTTTTTGTTTTTTTTTTTTTGAGACGGAGTCTTGCTCTGTCGCCCAGGCTGGAGTGCAGTGGCCGGATCTCAGCTCACTGCAAGCTCCGCCTCCCGGGTTTACGCCATTCTCCTGCCTCAGCCTCCCGAGTAGCTGGGACTACAGGCGCCCGCCACCACGCCCGGCTAGTTTTTTGTATTTTTAGTAGAGACGGGGTTTCACCGTGTTAGCCAGGATGGTCTCGATCTCCTGAACTCGTGATCCACCCGTCTCGGCCACCCAAAGTGCTGGGATTACAGGCTTGAGCCACCACGCCCGGCTGAAAAACATTATGTTAATCAAGAATGTGAGTCCCGTTTGAGTGGAGTACAATGGTTGGCCATGAAATGCTAATGGAACCTGAAAATGCTGTTTTCTTTAGGAAAAGCCAATCCCTATTTGCATTTTCTGTCATCACAACCTGAAAACTTACAAAGAATTTTAGAGTCCCAATTAGAAGAACTTTAGGGGCCATCTAGTCCCATGCCTCAGTTCTAGAAAACCCTGGATAGGTAGTCCCTCACCCTCTGTTTGGTCGTTGCCAGGTGTTGTGGAACGGCTGCTTTGTAGCACATTTACTCTGTTTCTGGGCTACTTTGATTGTAGAAAGTCTTTCCTTTCCTTGGAGGGTGATTTTCTCTGTGATGCTCATTTTTCTCTCCCTCAGCAAAAACAAAGCACATTACTTTAGGTCACAGCTTTGGAAAATGGAGGGTGTTTATCTCTTTATAATAAAATTCAGGATTTTATGGAACTGTGTCTTATTTTCTGTTCGTTAGAAAGATAACCAGTTACTTATATAAGGCAGCCAAATGCTTTATTAAATGCTTAATCTTTTGGTATACTCTAAAATGGAGAGATTCTGGTTCCTTGCTCCCCTTGCCACACGATAAAAACTCAATAGAAATTAACATTCAGGATAAAGAACCACTTTTTTTGTTTGTTTTTTTTTTGAGATGGAGTTTCTCTCTTGTTGCCCAGATTGGAGTGCAGTGGCGCGATCTTGGCTCACTGCAACCTGCCCCTCCCAAGTCCAAGCGATTCTCCTACCCTTAGCCTCCGGAGTAGCTGGGATTACAGGCATGTGCCACTACGCTTGGCTAATTTTTTGTATTTTTAGTAGAGAGGGGGTTTCACTATGTTGATCAGGCTGGTTTCGAACTCCTGACCTCAGGTGATCCACCCGCCTCTGCCTCTCAAAGTGTTGGGATTACAGGCGTGAGCCACCACGCCCGGCTGGAAGAACCGCTTTTTATTAATAACCCCAAACCATTTTTTTTTTTTTGGAGTGGGCCTTGGAATTGTTTGCCTTTTTGGTCTGTATTTGTTTCTAATTGTGTTTATATTTTCATACGGATGGAATTAATCCAGATATCTGAAGTTAGTATTGGGGGTCTGGGGGGCTATTGTAAATATTTACTTTGAAAACATGTTTTTTCCATAGTTTTAATTTTTATTTGCTTTGTTTTATGGTATTTTTTGGGAAAGGTTCCAGCACCCCAAGGAAACAACCTCGGAAGAGCCCTTTGGTGCCCCGGAGTTTGGAACCTCCGGTGCTGGAGTTGTCACCTGGAGCTAAGGCACAACTGGAAGAACTTATGATGGTTGGAGACCTCCTAGAAGTATCTCTGGACGAGACGCAACACATATGGCGGATTTTGCAGGCCACACACCCACCCTCTGAAGACAGATTCTTGCATATCATGGAGGTGTGGATTTAATACTTATTTAAGCAGTGGTTATAAAACTAGAATGCCTGGATTCCTTAGAGGTATCATTAATGTTGGCAGAGGGATGGCTGAGGGCAGTGATCTGGCTGGCCTGCTTTCCCACTTCAGTCAAAGAAATTGGGCTTTATGGCTTGCCGGCTTGCCTGCCTTCCCGCCTTCCCCCCTTCCTCCCTCTTTCTCTCTTTCTCTCTCTCTCTCTTTCTCTTTCTCTCTTTTCTTTTTCTTTTCTCCTTTCCTTTCCTTTCCTTTTTTTTCTTTTCTTCTCTTTTCTCCTTTCCCTTTTCCTTTCCCCTTTCCCCCTTTTCTCCTTTTCTCCTTTCCTTTCCTTTCCTTTCTCCTTTCCTTTCCTTTCTCCTTTCCTTTCCTTTCTTCCCTTTCCTTTTTCTCCTTTCGTTTCTCCTTTCCTTTTTCTCGTTTCCTTTCTCCTTTCCTTTCCTTTCTCCTTTCCTTTTTCTCCTTTCTCCTTTCCTTTCCTTTTCCTTTTCCTTTTCCTTTTCCCTTTCCCTTTCCCTTTCCCTTTCCTTTCTCCTTTCCTTTCCTTTCCTTCTCTTCTCTTCTCTTTTCTCCTTTCCTTACCTTTCCTTTCTCCTTTCTCCTTTCCTTTCCTTTCCTTTCCTTCTTGTAGGACACCAGAGATCTGACTTAGGGTTTTCTTTATTAAGCTTTTAGGTAGTATCTAAGTTGAAAAAAATGGCCTTTTTTGCTAAAAAGAAGCGGGCAAGGGTGTGATTGATAACCATCTAGTTTAGAGCAACCTCTTTAGCCCAGACTGTCATTATCGGAGGGCCCAGAGATCGGGGAGAATATATAGTAGCTATAAAAAAGAGGCACAGGGATGGTTAAGTAGAAGTAGATTGGGTGGGAGAGAAGGTCACACTTACGTCGCAATTCCGTGAGCTCATTTGATGGGGCAGTGATACCGTATCCACGAGCTCATTTGGTCCTTTCCACCGTCTTGAAGAGGAATGGGTAGGGGAGTGAGAGGGCAAGTATTTTACCCATTCTGCATATGAGGAAAGTGAGTATGAGACGTGGAAAATTAAGGTCACACATCCAGTAAAAAATAAAGAGACCTGGATTCGAATTCTGCCATCTGACTCGTATTCTTTTCATTAGTTTCCTTCTTTCCATGTAATGGAACGGTACCGTGCCACCCGGAGTTGACGCAGATGTATTTAGCATATACTATAGTTTGTTTTTGTTTTGAAAGTCAGGTCTAGGTAACCGAATTTAGATAGTGTTTTCCAGTCTGCAAAGCATTTTCTTCACATTCATTGTCTTACCCAATCTTCTTTATTTTACAGATAAGGAAGCACAAAGTATTAAGAGGTTAAATATCTTATTTAAGATGTAATAGACTTAAGGCACTTATAATCCACTGTTCTTTTGGATTCTGCTGATTCTTAGGTTCCTGTCAAAGATTTTCAAGTGTCAAATCTATAGAAAAATGAATTCTCAAGGGAATTATTTGGTTTATGTTATATTTCTTCAGTATTTCTTTCTCTGATGCCCCCTCCCATTTTTTCTGTTACTAGATACACTTTTACCGTTAAAATTTTAAATGTTTATTACATCGGCACCTACTAGCTACAGTATTAAAAAGCCAAAAACAATAATGACGATTTTTTTTTGCTTTGTCACGCGAACTGTTTTCTACCCCTTGGCAAAGTCACTATATATTCTGTGTAATGAGATCATGGACACGATTTTATGTTTTTCTGACTTTTTAAAAATAACTACCAATACTTTTATTATTTGGGTTAAGAAAGAACTTTACTAGTAATAAATGAAGACCCCAAAAGTTATTACATGAGTTAGTACAGTTTGCTTTTTTGTGTATGTTTTCGTCTCTAACAGAGACGCTACAGACTGTGTTAATACGCTGGCACTGAATTGTTGTGTGTGCCCTTTTTCTCCTAGTAAGCTAATACAAGATAAATATTTCATTTCAGACTTGTGATTTTCTACTGTTATCTTCATTGAATAGTACACTTGCCTTCTTAAAATGTCTTTTAAATATCTTTAGAATAACATAAATCCTTTTTGTGTTTTTTGAGATGGAGTCTTGCTCTGTGGCCCAGGCTGGAGTGCAGTGGATTGATCGCGGCTCACTGCAACCCCCGCCTCCTGGGATCAAGCCGTTCTCCTGCCTCAGCCTCCCAAGTAGCTGGGACTACAGGCATGCACCACCATGCCTGGCTAATTTTTGTATTTTTAGTAGAGTCGGGGTTTCACCGTGTTGGCCAGGCTGCTCTCGAACTCCTGACCTCAAGTGATCCACCCGCCTCGGCCTCCCAAAGTGCTGGGATTACAGGCATGAGCCACCGCGCCTGGCCCATAAATGTTTTTTATTGTAGCATAATATACATAACATAAAATTTACCATTTAACCCTTTTTAGGTAGACAATTCAGTTACATTAGGTAGATTGACAGTGTTACGCAACTGTCACCACTATTCATTTCCTAAATTTTTTAGTTAGCCCCAACAGAAACTATACTCACTAAGCAAATCTTCATTTCTTCTTCCCTACAGCCTCTGGTAACCTCTGTTCAGCTTTCTGTCTCTTTGAATGTGTTTATTCGAGGTACCTCATATAAGAGAGTAATACTAAGTAGTTTTTTAACTGTCTTGCTTTAAAATTGTTCCCAATTTTATATTTTTGAAGGATGACAGCATGGAAGAGAAACCACTAAAAGTGAAAGGAAAGGACTCTTCAGAGAAGAAACGGAAACGGAAGCTAGAAAAGGTAGAGCAACTTTTTGGAGAAGGAAAACAGAAGTCCAAGGAGTTAAAGAAAATGGACAAACCTAAAAAGAAGAAATTAAAATTAAGTGCAGACAAATCAAAGGAGCTGAATAAACTGGCCAAGAAACTAGCAAAAGAAGAAGAGAGAAAGAAAAAGAAGGAGAAGGCTGCTGCAGCCAAAGTTGAACTTGTGAAAGAGAGCACTGAAAAGAAGAGAGAGAAGAAAGTGCTGGACATTCCCTCAAAGTATGACTGGTCAGGAGCAGAGGAGTCTGATGATGAGAATGCTGTGTGCGCAGCACAGAACTGCCAAAGGCCCTGCAAGGACAAGGTGAGTTCCAGCTGTTTATGGTCAAGCATGAGAGGTCAAGGAACAACAGTTGTGGAGACACATGTTTGATATCAATATATAGTATGTTTTTGATTCTAGGATTTGGACTTCCAACATAATATCTTTTGTACAATTTCTATAAACTGTTTTGAAAAGTGAGGCTCTCAGTGTGCCTAGTAGAAGTGTTGTATTTTAGAAATCATATACTTAGTGAACATAATGAGACAGGAGCAGAGAGAAGCGATGTGACATTCCCTGGCAAATGGTGCATTTCATATGCAGTGGGCATAACAAGTTTCAGAATAATCTTGTGCCTTCCCTGTAAGGTGACTCAGAGAACGAAATACCTTGTCAAATAGTCCCAGTGGCCTGAAGAAAATCCTGGGCCAGTATTGTGAGAGCTGTGGCCAATTGCATTAAGATTGGATTCCAAAGACTTGAAACTTTTAGTCCATATCTTACTCACACTCAGACCTGTAAGCACTCTCCTAAATGGAATATAATTTTCTTCAAATCTTTGGGAACAAATAATTCAAACCTATAAATGCATTATTTTAGGCTGCGCACGGTGGCTCATGTCTGTAACCCCAGCACTTTGGGAGGCCGAGGCGGGTGGATCACCTAAGGTCAGGAGTTTGAGACCAGACTAGCCAACATGATGAAAACCCATCTCTACTAAAAATACAAAAAATGAGCCGGGTGTGGTGACGTGCACCTGTAATCTCAGCTACTCGGGAGGCTGAGGCAGGGGAATCACTTGAACCCGGCAGGCAGAGGTTGGAGTGAGCCGAGATCGCTCCATTGTGCTCCAGCTTATGCAAAAAGAGTGAAACTCCATCTCAAAAAAAAAAAAAAAACCAAAACGTTATTTTAAAATTTCCAACCCTAAAATTTAAGTGTAGTAATTCTGTTTTGGCCGTTCTTTAGATACGAACTTTTGAGAGTAATAGACTTTATGAAAAATTCCAGTTGTTTAAATGATTGGAGGCCCCTGTTACAGTTCTTATCAAGAATATTGATAAATCTGTAGTTTTAATTTTATTATACTCATTATACTATTTGATGTTTAGAATTCTCATAGTGCCTCAGTTTGAAAATATAAACAAATAAAACTGCATCTCTATTCCCTATAGGTTATGCCCTCACTTTTTCAATGAAATACTTAAACATTTTTAGAGCTTGAAGGGACCAAGAGTTTACCTTGTTCAGGCTGCTCATTTTACAGCTGGTGCACCCAGGACTCAGGGAAGGTAATTACGTGACCAAAGTTACAGAGCTGTTCAGCAGCAAAACCAAAAGTAGATCCCTAGATCCCGGCTCTCAGACCAGGCTCTCTCCACTAACACCTCTGCCCCGTCGGTAACTGAGGTGTAAGTACCAAAACACATTCCAAAACTAAATGACACATATTTAAATGAGATGTATTGGGGTATTCTGTTCATTTTTTGGAAAATGAATGCTGCGTATAGTAAAATACATATCCTGTAGTCTAATCTTCCAAGGCAGACAGCTGTAAATATTTTAGTGTTTCCTTCCCAGTTTTTTTCTATGGCATTTGTTTTATGTCATTGTCAGACTGTTCACTGACTTGCATCTATTCATTGTATAAGCATTCTATGTTATAAACATTTTAAAGCGTTTTAGTACATATGTATGTGCATATTATTTTTGTCTTTAATTTTGCATTTGTTTCCATCTGAGTTTGTTTATTAAAGAGGCTGAGGAAGAGTTAACTTTCTCTCTGGGCACCAGAGTGCAGCACTGGCAGAGCCTTCTCCCTTTTCTTTCTCCCTTATTATATGGTAGTTTAAAGATGAGCAGCAAGGTAGGGTGTGTCCGTTTTAAACTTTCCTGTCATTCTTTCTGTCATGTTTGTATCTCATGAGCCTTTTGTCTTATTTTTGTACTTTTTCTCCTTATCACTTAATCTTTCCCCTCCCTTCTGCTCAGCATTTAAATGGGATTCAGTTCATCTATTATTATTGTTGTCTTCTTTTTTTTTTTTTTTTTGTGACGGAGTCTCGCTCTGTCGCCCAGGCTGGAGTGCAGTGGCCGGATCTCAGCTCACTGCAAGCTCCACCTCCCGGATTCAGGCCATTTTCCTGCCTCAGCCTTCCGAGTAGCTGGGACTACAGGCGCCTGCCACCTCGCCCGGCGAGTTTTTTTGTATTTTTTAGTAGAGACGGGGTTTCACTGTGTTAGCTAGGATGGTCTCGATCTTCTGACCTCGTGATCCGCCTGTCTCGGCCTCCCAAAGTGCTGGGATTACAGGTTTGAGCCACCGCGCCTGGCCTACTGTTGTCTTCTTGTAGCAATATAAACACTTAGGCTGTTTTTTTTTTTCATTTGCTTTGAAATTGTCAAATTAACAGGTGCCCTGCCTTATTCAAAGGGTTATGATGATAAGACGAAACAATCTCTATGAAAGCACTTGTTAACCAAAAAATGCAACGTAAGTGCTAAGATGTGATCATTAGTTTTGAAAGAACTGTGAGATTTGCTTCTAATAGTATAGGTGTTTTGTAAACAAAATCTTTAAACAAAATCTAGAGTTATCATCTACATTTTGATGGAGCAAAAGGAGATTTGGCTGAGTGCTCAGAGAAAGTGTTTATTTTGAACTGTTAAAATACATAAAGGTGAGCAATGTGTGCCCCACCCTATGTTGTTAGTTTATATAATGTGTTTCATTTTACGCAAAAGTTATTTCAGATTATAGATATTTTGCCTGTTACTGCTATTTTGCGGTTTTTATGGTTCTACATGTTTGTTCCTGACATTGATTTTACTAAATAACAGTTACAGTTCTGTGAAAGTTTCTGTAAAGAATGTTAAAACTTTCTCAGTGTTTAGTATTTCTCTGAGAAAACTTAATATACAACACACATGTTTAGAACAAAATAAGAAAAGAATGCTTTTGCCAGGTGCAGTGGCCCATCCCTGTAGTCCCAGCTACTCAGAAGGTTGAGACAGGAGGATTGCCTGAGCCCAGGAGTTCAAGGCTATAGTTAATGTGCTATGGTTGCACCTGTGATTGCCCCACTGCACTCCAGCCTGGGCGAGACAGGGATACCCTGTCTCAAAAAGAAAAAGATTGGCAAGATGATGTTAAAAAAAAAAAGAAAGAAAAGAAAATCATGCGTTTTAGGGCAGTTTGTTCTTTAAAATATCATTCTGCAAAAAATAACTTCTAGGGTTCACTTGTTTTTAGGTGAATTCTCTGACCAGTAATTACTATTATTTCTCTAACCAATAATGACTATGACTTTTCCCCCAAAATATGCAGATAGAAATTTTTTGAGACAGGGTCCTACTGTGCTGCCCAGCCTGGAGTCCAGTGTGTGGTCATGGCTCACTGCAGCCTTGATCTCCTGGGCTCCGGCAGTCCTCCTACCTCAGCCTCCTGAATAGCTGGGACTACAGGCACATGCCACCACGCCCAGCTCTCTTTTTGAGAAATACTCTTTTAAAAATTAAAAGAAAGATTAAATGAGGCTAGTTTAAATGTGCCTAGCCTCAATTTCAAGGTGTTTTAGAAAAAGAAAGACAATACCAGAATAATATAAAAGGTTTTGAAAAAATAATTTTTCCTTTGATTATTAAATTAATGTCAAGCTGAAATTATTATTAACAAAGAACTAGTTTTAAAAAATTAATTTTAAAGTTCAGAATCTTTTTCTGTCAGAACTCTTTATTCAGTCTTATTGGTACCAAAGATAAAACAAGTTAACTGGAAAAAGACCAAATTCTTTCAGGCTACTAATTTAAGTAGTATTTTTCTTCTGTATTAGAATAAACATTTAATAGTTTTACTTATGAAAATAGTCTTCTTTTTCTCTTCACTTTTTTTAACCCTCTTATTGTCGGCCTTTTCCTTTACCCATTCCTACTGACATGAGAAGTTTTGTGTGGTAAATTAAGAGACTAAATTTGTGAACTCTGATTTTTACTATTTATTAGCCACCCTGATTTAAGATTTTCACGGGGGTGTTGCCTCAATCAAGGTATTTGCGTTTTCAATGGCTTTACTAGTTCATACCTCCTTTTGGCACAGATAATCAAAGATTAAGTTACCTAAATGTGTGTAATACACACACACACACGCGTGCACACGCGTGCATGATGTTCAGCTAGAGTAACCAACTGTCCCAGTTTCCCTGGGACTTTCCCTGTTTCAGCACTGAAATTCCCACATACTGAGAAATCTGTCATTCCTCGGCAAATTGGGAGGGTTGGTCACTGAATATTGAGAGCACCAAGAAAATAATACACAAGGATTCTGAACGTGTGTTGTAGTTCACTAAATGAATTGTTTTCCTTTTTCAAATCTTGCTTTTACTAGGAAACTTGGGGTGCAAGATATTAAATGCCAAAATAACAAAAGCTCAGTTTAATTACTAAGCTAAGAATATCACTAAATTACCAGATTTTCTTCTTTCCCAGTGCAGTACTATTCTTTAAGAAATGAACAAAATATACTATGCCAAGTATTTTTTCTTAAGTGTAAATATGAAACCATACAGCAAAACATGAATATTAAACTAATATTTTGTTTTAATGTATTTCTTTTTAAAACAGACATTTCCCCCAGATCTAAACATAGTAACCTATTTGTACTGTGATGTAGAATCTCTTATCATTTAGTATTTGAACAGTTCACAGCTGTGAAGTTTAATAATTCTTTTTGTGATTCACTAAATACATCTCCCTAGAAATAATGAAAAGGGAAATGACAGTTTATACAGTTTTCCAAATTCTGTGTTCTTGAGTTTTCAGGACACTACCTGGTCTGTTGCCCCTGTGTCAGAATCATCTGTGGCTTCGGTTGGCATCCCAAACTTTAGTTTGCTTTATGATGCTGTGGACCTTTCACACAAGAGTAGGACTCACATTTGATTGTTAGTAGATGAGCGTGATAAAAAAGATATTGGTAAAGAGAAGGACTATTTTTACTTGTTCTATTATCAGGCTAAATTGTTACATAACCTACAGTCTAGGTTAGAATTTGTGTACCAGTATCTCAAGAAAGGTTATAGATCTTTTGAAATGGGAGATCTAGGCTTAGGAAGGGACCTTGAGTGAAGATCACAAAAGGGAAAGTCTTGTCTTATTTGCGAGAGAATTTTGGGAAATTGTAAGCCAGTAAGTATAGTGCAAACACTAGGTTTCAAAAGACCTGGGACACTTCTTTATAGCAAATACTGATACATTGATAACGTTCTTATCAAATGGATTAGCATGAATGGGGACTAGACTGGATTAAGAGGGTTGGAGGTAAGGGTAAAGGTATCTGTTGGTTCACGGGTACCATCATAAACAGCATGGTATCTCAAACCTGGGCAGCACAGAGAACCACAATTTATCCAGTTCCCTTTATGTGTCCCAAACAGCCAAAACACTTGAGTGCACCTACTCTAACAGCCAGCATTTTGTGAGTCTTTACTGCTTGCAGTACTTTAATTTTTACATTTTGCACAGATGCCATTATTTCCCTTTTTATTTTTTGGTCTCTGATTAGTTTGCTACAATAGGAACATTTTGGTGAGTTTTTTTATTGCACAGACTTCAGAAGCTAAACAAACAATTACAGAACAAAAACAAATCTGTTTAGGAAGGTATTGTTAAGTTGCTCTGAATTTACAGGAAGTGATGTCACAGAGGGCCAGCAGCAATCGGATTTAGAATATATGAGAATCACTTGGGAGCTGATTAAAAATGTAAGCTTCTGGCTTGTACTCCCCAGACATTCTGAGTTCATAGGGTGATAGGTCCCAGCTGCATGTTTAACAAAACACAATAGATGATTCTGATGCCAGTGGTCTACACACTTTGAAAAGCAGTGCTGCAGACAGTTATATCAAGGTGCAAAACGTTTTGGGTAATGTAGGATAATGAGTAGAGCCACGAGACCATGACTGAAAAGTGCCTCCAGTATCCTAGGCAGTAAATTAGGTGTTTTGCCATACATTATTTCATTGGATCCTCTCGGTAATCTAGTAATTAATGTCATCTGCATTTTTCAGATGAGGAAATTGAGCCACTCAATGAGGTTAAGTGACTTGCTTGAAATTACACACTGAAACTCAGAACTTCTGAGTTGAGTAATCTTTATGTTAAACAGTATTGTTTCTTAAGATCTAGAACTTTAGAATAGGAACAATACAAGTAGAATATCATTTTGACAAATTATTTTTCCCACCCCTTATTACAAGCCTAAAACTACTGACATGACTACTGTGGTTTGACAATTGTTTTATAGGACATGGAAACGAATTTTGAAAACCACTCACTTTCTGTGAATGAAACTCATTTACCTAGCCAAAACCTCCTTCATCTGTTCCTTCTTATAAGTTGTATAGAGTTACTTCTTTGATCCCTTTCTGTTCCTTCCTTTGATATCTGGTAAAGCTCACGGTTTTAAGTGGCTTCTTATGTTGCCAATGAAATGACCAACCTTTGTATTGAGGTGAGGGAGAGTGGCTCTTTTCAACTTAAATGTTCTTGTCTGCCATGACATTAGCTGTAAAAACTACCACAATCAGCCTTCAGATACAAAAGCCAAAAGTCACTTTATTGTTAACTCTTAAGTCCAAGGCTTAAAGTCACCAAACTACAATCCCTTCCTAGCCTCCTGTAATCAGAGTATTGTCAGAAGGGTCAAGTCTGACACCTGCCGCTGACCTGTCAGGTTTTCAGATTTGAATTTTAAGCCCCAGAGTGATCTGTTGACCTGTGTCTTTGACTGTTATAATTGGATAATTTGTAAGATTTGACATCTGATATTTGCTAACTTTTTATAGGGAGTTGTATTTGTAACGGAAGAAGAGAAGAATAAAAAATATTAGTTTTAAAAGTGGCCTATGTGACTGCTTTTCTAAAAAGGTATTTAATGCTCTTAGTACTTTGGCTTATCTCTTTGAAATAAAGCTAATACACAGGATTGCCTTCACATTGTTGTACTCTTCCTTTCTTGATTGATAATTGCATTGTCTTAGAGCCTAGAAATTGTTAATATTAGCTAAAACTACTTGGCTGCTCTATTAGAAGTTCCCTTTTTGTCAAATTTTTCTCAAACATGTTTCTGCCTCACAAGGAGCCCCAGGTATTCATGAGGTAATGGAGTACCTAAGAGGCCTAATTTTGTGGACACACTATGGTAAAATATAATTTTGGGGTATTAACTTCTCAGCTTCTGTCTTTAAAAAATAACCCCATAAGAAGTCATTGCCTATCTCTAGATATCCCAGTTGTTTGCTATCATTTAAGCCAAGAAAGCTCTTCGGTTTGCTTTTATTCTAGGCTTAATGTTTATGTAACCTTAACATTCCCCAATCTTGTTTCCTACAGGTAGACTGGGTACAATGTGATGGTGGCTGTGATGAGTGGTTTCATCAAGTTTGTGTGGGTGTATCTCCAGAAATGGCTGAAAATGAAGATTACATCTGTATAAACTGTGCAAAGAAGCAAGGGCCAGTTAGCCCAGGTCCAGCACCACCTCCTTCCTTCATAATGAGCTACAAACTACCAGTGGAGGATCTGAAAGAGACCAGTTAGCAGATGCTTGGTTAGTTTGGGACATGGGGGGAAATGGACCACATTGAGACCTTAGTCATCAAGTAGAGTGGTTTCTATCCACTTGGAATGTTGCTTCCAAAGATGAATGGCCTTCAGAGAAAGCCCTCTTAGTGCTGGCTTCCTCTTTGCATGGACTCTGGGGGTTACATTCTCTGTCAACATATCTATGCAGAGGGTGTCTTCTTTGGTACAGCAGCCAATAGTTCATGTCTCCTTTGAGTGTGATGTACTGCATTAAGGCCAGATGCTTGATTGGGCTCTAGGGTGGCCGGTTAGTATTAATACATTGGTGTGCTAACAGGGCATGTAGGATGTGGCTTTTGTCCAGCTGATAGTAGTTAGAGACTTACAACTTAGGAGCAGCACCAACTGAAGGTGCTAATTGCTTGGATCACCTTCACTGGGATAGTTGGAGAGGGATTGGAGTACCACTTTCCTTCCACTGTTACCTGGTACTTAATGCCCTAAAGATACAACTAGGAGTAACAGGGCCAAAGTTATTTCTGTTAGACGTCAAGGAATGGTATCACAGTCTTTTGACATCAGCTATTTGTGCTTGTTTGTGCTAGAAGAACACCCCAAATAGGAGAACCTCTCAGCTGGGGCAGGTCACCTTATCTTTGTAAGGATGAGGATGTCATCTAGATCAGAAATCGGACTAGATTGGATTCTGGGGAGAAGAACCTACTACAAGGCAAGGAGCCGTTTTTTGGCATTGAAAAGTCTTGCTGTCTTGGGTCTACATTTTAGGGAAGAGCAGGTACATGGATTCAGGCCTCTGCCAAAAAAAAAAAGAGAAGAAGATGACGACGATGACCAGTCATACTATTTTACTGAGCCACAGTGATGCATGCTTTTCGGGGAAAACTTCATTCACAAGTATTCCAGACACCAGGCTTCAGGCATGGCCATGAGCAAGACCAGCAAATAACAGCTTTTTGCCTTGCAGCCCTGACCCCAATGTCTGCTGTTTCCAACACTGGCAATTTCTAACTACGGCCCGCAGCAGATGCTGTTGAATAACGCCATGGCTTCATCAGAGGATGCGGGGTTGTAGTACCTCTGGGTGATGAAGTTGTTTTAGTAAATCCATTTTTAAAAAGAAAAAAAAAGGACTTGTTTTTACTTTTTTCTAAATGTCTCTGACTACTGACTGTTCTATAAATAGATTATTTTTCCTTTTTTAATATACATATATGAATATATAAATATATATATTTACTGTTACCAGCAGCATATGACAAGAGTTTCAACATCAAAAATCCATTTGGGGGCTTGCTTTTTCTTTTTTGCTTTAAAAAAAAAAATCCCATTCCTTCCTTGTAGTACAAGGAGTTAGCACTCCCTCCTCCATCCCAGCCTGACCAGATCTTCCATTTTGCTTTTGTTCATATAGATAATTATATGTCCTTTGTATGTTGGGACTTGTTCCTGTCTGTTGGGAAACTTGGTCTCACTCTAGTCTGTGCTGGCTGTTTTTTCTTTTGTGTGTGAACGTTTGAAACTATGGTGCTGTGTCCTCTTCCCTCCTGTTGTGTTCTCTGTTCTTAAGATTTTAGGTAAGCTGTATGTAAACTCTTAGTAGAAGGGGACTAATTTTTTTTAAAGGACAAAAAAAAAAAAGACTAAAAATAGTGTTTTGTCATCACTGTCTGTCTGGTGTGTTTATTTTGGTTTAAAAAAATCTGTGGTTTGACTTAAATTCATCAGTTTTCCTTTTAAAGGGGGGATTGGGGTGGACCTAGCAACGGCTTATAGTCTCCTTTTCCCTTTTTGCCCCAGTCTCTTTTAAAGAACTGTCTTCTAGTAACTAGAAGTGAAATGTACTGTCCAGTTACAGTTTGAGTGGGTATGAGATTTAACTCAAAAGGCATCTTACAAAAAAAAAAAAAACGTTTTCTTATAAAATCCAATTTATGTAAATGTTTTCTCTGTAGTTCATACTACCTACTTTTTATTCATTCTTTCCTTAATACTGTATAACCTTTTGAGTGTTTTGACTTGTCCAGAGGTTTGTTAGTGTTGCTGTGCATGTGTCTTGAGGTCTCTTCTCAAGTAAGTTTGTGTATGATCCAAGATTTCAGTGGATATTGCAAGGCAACTAATGAACCGATTTCATAAGTTTTCCTTTTGCCAAACTAACGATTATCAATTAAGAATTTCCTCTGGTTGATGTTATACAAGAAAGCACAATATTTTTTGCCTTTTGGTCTTCTTTGTAAAAGTCTTCAGATACTTGTGGGTTAAAAATGGAATGTAATGTTAAGTGACAGATGCCTGGAATACATTTACAATTTTTATTTTTCCTTCCTAATCATCCATTAACTCGTCTGCCATCAGTGGAGAGTCATGAGGATGCTGAGAAAGTATGACTAGCTTCCTGTTACCTTCTGACGTTTTGAAACTTAAATATGTCTTTTCATTGATACGGTGGGATTTTCTTTATTTACTTGAAAATCGTGGAGGATTTGGTATGACTTGACCGCAGGTTTAGACCAAGGCTGAGAAGAACAGAAGGGAGAAATTAATGGCAAAACAAAAAAATAAACAAATCTGCAGTTTTGGAATTAATGAAACAAGATTGATCTATTTAAAGAAATGTTGGTGTTCTAATACAAAGCATTATTTTCACTTAGAGAAAATTATTTACAACGTGCTCTCTTCTGTATTGTAATATTTTGTATTAAGACATGATTTAAAATGTCTTTCTACCCTTCTTATCTCCTCTGAACTGCAACTGAAGTTGCAATTCTTCATCATTAGTATTTTAACCTTGGCAAAGGTTATAGAAAGAAAAATGGAAAAATGGTAGGCCTTTGGTATTCTTAAAAGCCAAGTCATTAGAACTATGCAGATCCCCAAGTTTAGAAGTACAAATGTAGCACTAGTAGTTAGCCTTGTAGCTGGGGGAGGAGACGGGAGACTTTCCTTCCTCAGATGTTTATTTTGCTTCCTGATACGTCCTGCAGCAGAGCCATGTTGATGTGTAGATGCGGGACTTCCTCACTGAGCTGCTGCACACCAGCTTTGCCTGCATGATTCAAATGTGTGCCTCAGTAAAATCATAAATTATTGCATGTCATACCCTGAATAATTGAAAAGGCAAACATTAAACCTGTGATTGCCCACAGTGTACTTTAATAATAAAAAACATGGCAGCCAGGTGTACTCCAGTGCAGTGTAGTCAGGAGGCTGAAGTGGGAAGATTGCTTGAACCTAGGAGTTTGAGTCCTGCCTGGTCAACAGTGAGACCCCATCTCTCTCTCTCTCTCTCTCTCTCTCTCTCTCTCTCTCCCCCCCCTTTTTTTTTTTTTTTTTTAAAAGGACAAAGGCTGACCTGTAAGATTAGCATGATTTTACCTGTGCTTTACTTCTGTTCTTCTCTACTTTTGTCTTTAGTAGGTGTCCAAAAAATGTCTTTTTGTGCTGCTTAATTTTTGGATTCTGGATGCAATTCAGTGCATGTAAAGAAACTACTTGCTTGTCAGTATTTTAATTCTGTAGTACATTTGTGTGAATATCAACCAGCACTTACAGTAGGAGAATGAAAAGAAAAACTGAGAAAGCCTCTCTTTGAAAGGATGGGATAATCCACTTTTTAAGGGAGAAAGTGACAGTTTGGAGTGGGATTTGAAAAGTGTAAATGGTGGAAAAATTTGAGCTGTTGAAGTCCCACATATAACCAGATTTGATAAAGTTTCACATGTGGATTAGCTTTGTGTGTGTAGAAGGTGCTTTTACAGCAGGTCCTTAAATACTCCTTTTGAAATTCCTTTTTTTAAAAAATCATACCATTACTTCTTTGGATATGAATGTCCCAAGTGGTATCTCATACTGTAGTATGAGGAAGAATGGATGTTAATGTATTGTTTTGAATTTTGGTCTTCTCTTGTCCTGGATCATATCCAGTCACCACTATGCAACAAATGATGTGCACCGGGCAAGGATATGATGGGTTATTCAAGCTGTATCTTGCTTGTTTTTTCTTTTGCAGTACTCCAAGTGGTCTAAACAGGAATGTCTTGTAAACCTCGAGACTCCCTATTGATTATTCCCTTACATATTTATTTACAATTTATCAGGGTAAATTGGTGGTGCCTTATGAAAAGCATAACTTGATTTCTTGATCTTTGAGCATGTTTTGTGTTTCTTCTGTTTTCTGAAAGAATATTAGATATGGTTGATTGCATTACATCTAAAAGATTTAAAAATTATGTGTATGCTCAGGTTCCCCACACCCACACCTACCCCTACCCCCTGTCATTTACTTTGGTGGCAACTTTAAATGGTAACTAAGTAAAAGTACATTTTGGTAAGGAGTATTGATAATCCTGAGGAAAACTAGTGAGTATATGGGAGCCACCTTTAACCTGTGCCAAAGCAGTTTCTAATTTCATTTGCTCTCTAACTGCAAAATAAAGAACTGAGCTGAAATAATTTGATCAGTGGTGTGATTAGCCTATTATCATTGCTGAGAATAGTGTTTTTGGAGTGTGAAGTGATTCCTGAAGATTTCACCTGCCTTCTGTTTCCAGCAAGAATCCAGTGATGACCAACACATTTCCTCACCTTTGGTTCTTGAGAAGTTTATCCCTTTGCAACAAACGATTAATAGGGAAGACAAGGAAATGCTTTCCTTTTCTCTTTGGCTTCTTAACCAATTCAGACCCCAAGTTACTTCAGAGAAGCAAATGGCACCTTTTCCCCATTGCCAAGGATCCCAGCTTATGCAGATATGAAGGACAGATCATTTCTGAAAATGTTAAGACTCTGCTTGCTGTGAACTTGGCCTCAAAACAGTTTCATGAAATGTGTAACTCTCTATGTGTATGTTAGGAGGAGGGTTGGTGGAAAGAGCAGGGGCGGGGAGGGAAATCTGATTACCTCTTGGGAAATAATTTTCTTGCCAACAAAAAGATACACTTGAAGTTTCTTAAGGTGGCAAATCCATTAAAAAAAAAATTGTGTTGGACTCTCCCAGTTTAGATC